TTGAATATCCTGCGGGTCGGGACACATAGGCAATCCAGTCATTCAAGAAAATTTACGAGTGTGACAGGTGAGTCCCAGAACAACAAGAAATAATCTCTGTCTTTAAGAATCCCACACTCTGGGCCGGCCCGGTGGCGCACTGCTACAGTGCACCACTTGGGAGCACGGTGGTGCTCCTGCCGAGGGTTCGGATCCCACATACAGACCGGTTCCCACTCACTGGCTGAGCGAGGTGCGGGTGCAACATGGAGGGTTGCGATCCCGTTGCCGGTCCGGTACAGGCACAACACTGAGGATTGTGATCCGTTGCCGGACACGAAAAAAGACAAAAAGGAAAAAAAAAAAAAAAAAAGAATCCCACACTCTAGTGCAAGGCAAACAAGAAGATAAACAATTAAAATATAGTGTGGCAAGTGCTAGATGTAACTAAGTTTACTGGGGTGGGGACGGAGAGGAAATACTGTATTAGTAAATTGACACTGCTGAAGACAAATCATTGTTAAACCCACTGGAAGCAGATCTCTGCTCTTCTTACCTCTTTTTTTGTTCTTCCTCATACTGCTGCTTTACTTTAGCTTCACTTTCCATTGCTTCTTTTATCTTTTCCTCTAGTTGCTTCTTCCCTAAAATACAAGTGTCTGTGATACAGACTTTATGAGCATGTTCTAATTTCTGCTGCAGGTCCAAAACCTTCAATGAAAAAATTTACAAGTAAAATATTAAGAAGAGTGTGACCTTTTTTCAAATTAGGGAAATAACCTACAAATATCAAACACAGCAGTGCAGACATACAAATCTAATCTAATATAGTGAGGCTAGATTTATTTTAACTTTAAAATAAATTATGTAACTTTTAAATATACAATACATCCATATTAATTCAATGTGTGTGAAAAACCTCCTCCCGTCCCCATCCCATTTCCTTCCAGTTTTCCTTCACCAAATAGGTAACCACTGTTGTTAGTTTCTTGTGTACCCTTCCGGAGATTTATTTATGCATATGTAAACAAATATCATATAGTTCTTCCCTATACACACAAAAATTTTACACAAATGATGACATAGTACATATAATTATGCATCTTGGCTTTTTTTGTAACAATACACTTGGTAATTTTCCCATATTATACACACATATAGAGTTGTCTTTTCTTTTGAAGTTGCGGACGTGTACCATTCCACTGTAAGGATACAGCATAACTCAACTAGCTCCCTACTGTCAAACATTTAGGCTGATTCCAGTCTTTTGTTACTACAAACAATACTATTATAAACAATGTCTATAGAATAAGTTATGAGATGTGGATTTGCTAGAGCAAAGGTTATTAGTATTTGTTTGTTTGACAGATATGCCAAACTGCCTCCACAGGAACTAAACCAATTTAGACTCCCAACAGCAATTTTTGTAAGAGTACCTAGTTTCTCCAGTGTGGCTAGATTAATGAATAACACCACAAAACAAAGTAGAAGTCTCTTACAAACCAAGTACCTATTAACATATTGCCTAGCCCCTGGTCAAACTAAAAATATGATTTATGAATTTGAAAGATATATATATATATATGCCTAGATGTAAAATGTCATTTAAAAACATTTTTGTTAAATAAATCTCCTTTTAAATTTGTTTACTTATATTGTTAAACCTTTGTGTCACCTAAAATTGTGACTGGTACATAGTAGGTGATCAATCAATATTTGTTGAATGAATAGATTTCAGCAGAGTAGCTGTTCTCCCTCTAATGTATTCCTGACACAACAAGGAATCCTTTAAAATGGTTTGGCATCACATTGCCCACAACATTCAGTGAATGCCAGTAGATGGCAGCAATTTTCTAAGAGAAGGGCTTCCTGCATGAATCCCAAGCCCTGGTACCTACATCCCTGCAAAGCCCACAGAGCATAACAGAGGTGAGGTGCAAATGATTCAAGGACAGGGGAAGTGGGCAGCCAGCCATCTGGGGCCAGGTCAAGTTCCTTGGAGCTGCTCCATTTAGTTCTGCCTAGGGAGAATTCTTAATTAAAGATATTCAGTCTTAATTCCACAGACAAAAGCATCACTCCATTGGCTTCTCCATCAAGGACACATGCCCAACTTTTCAACCTGCCTCCCAGTTTACGAAAGAACTCTTCCAATATTTCTGAAGTCCACTCTGTGACCTTCCTTGATTATCCTTCTCTCCCACCAGAGAAAACCACTATCCCAAATTTTGTGTTAATTGTTTTCTTGCTTCTCCTTCTTAATAATATATATCGCTATATGACAGTTTTCATTTTGCACTATTTTGACCTTTTTATCAATGGANAACTAGCTCCCTACTGTCAAACATTTAGGCTGATTCCAGTCTTTTGTTACTACAAACAATACTATTATAAACAATGTCTATAGAATAAGTTATGAGATGTGGATTTGCTAGAGCAAAGGTTATTAGTATTTGTTTGTTTGACAGATATGCCAAACTGCCTCCACAGGAACTAAACCAATTTAGACTCCCAACAGCAATTTTTGTAAGAGTGCCTAGTTTCTCCAGTGTGGCTAGATTAATGAATAACACCACAAAACAAAGTAGAAGTCTCTTACAAACCAAGTACCTATTAACATATTGCCTAGCCCCTGGTCAAACTAAAAATATGATTTATGAATTTGAAAGATATATATATATATAATTTACATGTTGCCTAGCCCCTGGTCAAACTAAAAATATGATTTATGAATTTGAAAGATATATATATATATAATTTACATGTTAGATGTAAAATGTCATTTAAAAACATTTTTGTTAAATAAATCTCCTTTTAAATTTGTTTACTTATATTGTTAAACCTTTGTGTCACCTAAAATTGTGACTGGTACATAGTAGGTGATCAATCAATATTTGTTGAATGAATAGATTTCAGCAGAGTAGCTGTTCTCCCTCTAATGTATTCCTGACACAACAAGGAATCCTTTAAAATGGTTTGGCATCACATTGCCCACAACATTCAGTGAATGCCAGTAGATGGCAGCAATTTTCTAAGAGAAGGGCTTCCTGCATGAATCCCAAGCCCTGGTACCTACATCCCTGCAAAGCCCACAGAGCATAACAGAGGTGAGGTGCAAATGATTCAAGGACAGGGGAAGTGGGCAGCCAGCCATCTGGGGCCAGGTCAAGTTCCTTGGAGCTGCTCCATTTAGTTCTGCCTAGGGAGAATTCTTAATTAAAGATATTCAGTCTTAATTCCACAGACAAAAGCATCACTCCATTGGCTTCTCCATCAAGGACACATGCCCAACTTTTCAACCTGCCTCCCAGTTTACGAAAGAACTCTTCCAATATTTCTGAAGTCCACTCTGTGACCTTCCTTGATTATCCTTCTCTCCCACCAGAGAAAACCACTATCCCAAATTTTGTGTTAATTGTTTTCTTGCTTCTCCTTCTTAATAATATATATCGCTATATGACAGTTTTCATTTTGCACTATTTTGACCTTTTTATCAATGGAGTCATACTGTGGTTTTGGAGACTTTTTAAAAATTCAATATTAGCATGTACCTGTAGTTTATTCATTTTCATTGTTGTATGCTAGCAAGTAAATATATAACAACCTATTTATTTGATTATGTCAGGGGACATATGGGTTGTTTCTAGTTTTCTTCTATTTGGTACAAAGTTACTATGAACATGATGGTATTCCTATCTCCCCATACATTTGTACAGTATAATAGTGTTTCTAGTGTTTATGTAGTAGAAGTGTTAGATTTTATGATACACACACCTTTAACTTGACTAGATAATGCCAAATTGCTTTGCAAATTGTTTATACTAATTTATTCTTCTAACTTAAGTCTGTATACTAGAGTTCCTGATTGCACCAATTCCTCACCGATATTTAGAACTCTCTAAATATAAAAATTTTACCAATCTTTATCAATTTTCCCAATTACTTTTTAATAGCATACATATGGTAAAGTAACATACATACATACGGTAAATTACATATTTTAAGTAAACTCAATGAAGTTTTACTTGTATAACTACTTCGTAGCACCAGAGAAAATTCCCTCATGCCCCCTCCTAGTTAATACTCCTCATAAAGATAGCCACTATCCTATCTTCATAGCTTAGTTTTGTCCATTCATGAACTTCACATAAAAAGAATCATACAATATAAACTCTTTTGTGCTGGCTTTTCTAACTCAACATCAGATTTTTTAGTTTAACTTATATGGCTGTCATTTACTTTTTGATGTTTGCTTAATATTTATATGGTTTGATGAAGTGATTTTTTTAAATCTGAGATTTGACTCAGGCAAAACTGCACCCTTTTTATCACCCTTATTTATTCCCCACCTCTAGGTCGAAATTGAACTAAAGCATGCCCAGCAGAAGTTATTACACAGTGAAAAGACATGCTTTTCACTCACAGCAGAGTATAAATGTTACATACTACTGCCATCTGGTGTTAAAATGCAGGGGCAATATTTCAAAATGGTTCATTTCACAACACAAATCCCCCCCCCAAAAATTACAAAATAAAAATCTTAAACACCCAATCCAAATGAGAGAACAAGTCCTTTAAAATTTTAAAGTATAAAACAAAAGTCATATGGCTCAGTCAGTTCTGTAAGTTCATGTTCATAGCTTTAATGAAACTTACCTTTTTAAGGTCACACAATTTAAAACACACAAGATTTACATGAATTGTAGGAGCAGGTAAAATCAAGAAAGAGTAAAACATGGAGAGAGTAAAGAAAAAAATTAGAATTCTATCAAGTTTGCAACATATTTATTTCTTAAAATCCTTAAGGAAACAGGATTTCAGTTAGTGGAATTCAGTGCATGCTATTTATTAAGCATGATGATAATTACCTTTCCCTCTGCATCAGCAACTTTAGATTTCTCCTGAGCCAGCTTTTCCTGTAGGTTGTTCCATGATTTAATGCTCTGTGCCTGTTTAAGTACTTCCAGCTCCAGTTCCTTGATTTTCTGCTGACAGTGTTTCCACTCTGCTGTGAGTGAAGAGCATGTCTTTTCACTGTCTAATAACTTCTGCTGAGCATGCTTTAGTTCAATTTTGATCTGGAGGTGGGAAATAAATAAGGGTAATAAAAATGAGTATGGAATGAATGTGAATGTGAGCCAGAATAAACAGCTTTTAAAGGAGTGCAGTTCCTCAAAAGCTGACCAATACCTATGTCACATGGCTGGTTACCTCTCTGGAGCTACCATCTGTCAGGGAGGTTTGTCCAAGTTTATCTAGTCAGTTGACAGCTGGATAAAGAAATTTTCCAAAGAGAATATAAATATTTTCTATTCTTTTTTCAATCTACTCCACACTGGCTTTCATCCCCTCTACCCCAACGAAACTGTTTCTGCCAAGGGCACTAGTTGATCTCCCCACTGGCAAAATAAATCCAACGGACAACTGACTTAGTAGCATTCACTCCCTCCATCTCAGAAAGTTCTCCTCTCTTGGAGTCTGGGATACCATCCTGGATTGTATTTACCTCTCTGCTGTTCCTTCTTGGTCTCCTTTGTAGACTCCTCTAATGCTACCCAAACTCTAAATATTATTGGACTACTCCAGGCCTAGAGAGTGGAAGATTCTCTCTCTAGGTTCATTCCTATGGTTTGAAATGCCATTTTTAGGCCAAAAACTGTCAAAATGAAACCCCTTGATTCTGCCCCTGTCTCCAGAGTTATTTTTCTCTGTCTTACCAATTTCAGTAACTGATGCCACTAGCCAACCTTTTGTGCAGGGCAGCAGAAAACTGAAAGTCATCCCTGCGTCTTCTTTTTCCATCATGAGCAACATGCTGTCATTCTACCTTCATAACGTATCTTACATCAATCCATTTATACCATTTTTGCCCCCACCCTGGTCTAGATCATCATCTTGAGCCTGGGCTCTAGCAACAGCCTCTGCACTGTTCCTGCCAGTTCCATTTTTATTCCCTTTTAATCTATTCTCTACACTTCAGCCAAAGTGTTCTTAAAACACAAATTGAACCACATGACTCCCCTGCTTAAAATCTTCCAGTGGTTTTCCATCACTCTGGGAACAAATTCCCACAGCTTGCCTGGTTGTATATGATCTTATCCTTGCCTACCTCTTTAAAACCATCTTGTTATTCCCTCTTCTCCTACTGAACTCCTGTCACACTGATTTCTATTTAGGGCTTCCAACACATCAAACTCTTTCCACTCTTTCCGTTGCCAGGAATGCTTTCCTATTCCCTCCTCACTGCATGATTGCCTGCCTATTCTTCAGGTCTTAGCTTAAATGTCACTTTGCAGGGGGAAATTTTCATGATCATTTAATATGAAGAGTCTCCTTACCCATATCATTGTATCGCAATTATTTCCTTTATCAAACATACCACAATTTATAATTAAGCATGCATTTATCTACTTGTTTATCATCCTTAATCCCCATTTTAAATTCTAGGAGAGCAGGGACCATGTTTTTTATTCACTGCTCAATACCCAAGGCCTATCAAAGTGACAGACAGTAGGTGATTAATCAATATTTACTGAACAAGTAAATGAATGATATTCTAAGGAATATCAGAACATGGTGAAATGTATGTACTAGGCAGGTAAGGCTCACAGACACACACACAAAATGTCCTCATGGAAAGGAGAATTCCCTCGCCTCAAAGCTTTTCAACAGAATTAATGGAGATCATCAATGTAATATCCTCCATCTGTGACTACTGTATATTAACCAATCAAATTTTATCAAGTGAATCTGAAGGTGAATAGTGTTCAACCTCTTCAAGCATCAGTTTCTTCTTCTGTAATAAGGGGATAATAACTATTTTTCTCATAGGATAGTTGTGAACCTACATTAAATAAGACAAAGCAATTAAAGCATCAAGAATANCTCATGGAAAGGAGAATTCCCTCGCCTCAAAGCTTTTCAACAGAATTAATGGAGATCATCACTGTAATATCCTCCATCTGTGACTTCTGTATATTAACCAATCAAATTCTATCAAGTGAATCTGAAGGTGAATAGTGTTCAACCTCTTCAAGCATCAGTTTCTTCTTCTGTAATAAGGGGATAATAACTATTTATCTCATAGGATAGTTGTGAACCTACATTAAATAAGACAAAGCAATTAAAGCATCAAGAATAGAGCCAGACTCATAGGAAACAATTTATAAAAGTTAAGTGTTATGCAAGAATCAATTATAGAATATCTACTGTATGTGAAGTATAGAGCCGAAGCATATACTAATATTACTATTTTATATTTGTTTGGCTTTCACATTTATGAAGTGAGTGGGATTGTTATTTTACCCCATTTTAGAGATGAAAAAAATGAATCTCAAATATAGTTAGCAAATGATAGAGTCAAGGTCTGAATACTGATTTTCTGACTCTAGTTCAGTATTCCATATTACAATTGACTCTAAACTGTGAAAAACATGTATTTATTATTTCTCTAAAAAGAAAATAATAGACTAAATCAATAAAGCTAAAAGTTGGTTCTTTGAAAAGTCTAATAAAATGAATAAATTTCTAGTGAGACTGATCAAGGGAAAAGCAACAAAGATAGGTAACTAATATCACGAAAATAAAAAAGGACTATCACTATATATATATATATATATGATGAATAAGTTTCTGAAAAAATTTTAAAATTTAAATGAAATGGAAATTTTTTAAAAACTTGACTGTTCATAACTATTAAAGAAACAGAACCAAATTCTACTGGGAAACATTCTCAAAAGACAACTCTGTAAAAAAGGACTATCACTATATATATATATGATGAATAAGTTTCTGAAAAAATTTTAAAATTTAAATGAAATGGAAATTTTTTCAAAACTTGACTTTTCATAACTATTAAAGAAACAGAACCAAATTCTACTGGGAAACATTCTCAAAAGACAACTCTGGAATCAGAAGGCTTCAGGGATGAGTTCTTGTAATTATTTAAGAAGAAATCATTGTAATTTTACACAAACTTATCCAGAGAACAGAAGAAGAGGGTGTATAACCCACCTTATTTTCAGAGGCTAGGATAACCTTGATACTAAAATCTGAAAAGGGCATTACACGAAAGGAAAATGACAGGCCAGTCCCAGTTTTTCTATTTTTAGGTAGATAGCATACACACCCCTTCAGCAGCAGAGAAATAACTGAGCTCTGTCCTGATTTCGTAGGGAAAAGTTAAAGGAGGAAGCTACCAGATGGCTCACATTGTCCACCCAACTGTGGATCCTACCGTGAACTATAAAGTCGAGGGATTTTAATTTGTCACCGAGACCTTTCGATAAAGGATGTGCCCACTAAGGTTACCTTAAGGTTTTCTTCCTGAAGTAAGCTATTATGTTGCTTTAAGTCCAAGCTCCTTCCTCGCTCGTACTGAAGCTCTTTTTCAGCTGAGTTGCATAGAACCTGGAGCCGGTGCAAATTCTGGCAAAGTTGTGCTTCCTCTTGCTGTTTGCATTTTAGTTTTTCTCCAGATGATGGATACTAAAGCAAACATTTTAAAAGAGAATCATGGGCAATTTGAAAGAATATCCGTAACAAATGGGTTCAAGCCGTCAGAACCAGAATTGTCAGAATGTGATTATTCACATATAAATGTTTTTGGAGTTTGTGTACCCACGATGAATTACTCTTTTACATTTATTGTTAGTCGATATATATGTTCATATAATTTAACTCCTTTTATATTAGAGGGAAAAGACCAGGGAAATTATGTGAACAATGTGAACAAAAGTGGTTATGCACAGAGACAACTGACCTTTTTATTTTTCATATCAGTGAAGGGCAGCAGAAGCATAGGCAATTTTATGGTAAAACATGCTTTAAATTGGGGAGTTTAAAGAGTCAGTACGTGAAGAAGTAGAGTGTGAATGTGTGTATGTGTGGTGCCTGTTAGCATAAAGAAAGAGAAAATCTATCAAGAAACCTTAAATTCTTAGCCTTCCTCATCACTTTCCTTTTACCTGATGATTCTTCAGTTAGTACTCAACACCACCACACTTTTAAGGCTGAATAATATTCTGTTGTGTGTGTAGATATCTCATTTTCTTTATCCGTTTTTCCACTGATGGACACTTAGGTTGATTCCATAACTTGGCTTTTGTGAATAATGTTGCAATAAAATGCAAGTGCAGATAATCTCTTCAACACACTGATTTCAAATCTTCTGGATAATATATAACCAGAAGTAGAATTGGTGGGTTATATGGTAGTTCTATTTCTAATTTTTTGAGGAACCTCCAAACAGTTTTCCATAATGGCTATATTAATTTAAACTCCCACTGACAGTTATGTAAGTGTTCCATTTCTCCATATCCTTGCCAACATTTATCTTTTGCCTTTGGATAAAAGCCATTCTAACAAGTATGAAGTGATATCTTATCGTGGTTTTAATTTGCATTTCCCTGATAATTAGTGACGTTAAGCATTTTTTCTTATACCTAGTAGCCTTTTCTATGTCTTCTTTTGAGAAATATCTATTTGGGTCCTTTGCCTATTTTTCAATTGGGTTATCTTCTTGCTATTGAGTTGTTGGAGTTCCCTATAGATTTTGGATATTAACCACTTATAAGATGTATAGTTTACAAGTATTTTCTTTCATTCCATAGGGGAACTCTGTTGATTGTTTCCTTTGTTGTGCAGAAGCTTTTTAGTCTGATACAGTCCTGTTTGTTTTTCCTTTTGTTGCCTGTACTTTTTGCAGTCATAGCCAAAAAATCTTTGCGAGATCAATGTCAAACTTTTTCCCACGTGTCCATCAACAGATGAATGGATAAAGAAAATGTGGTATATACATACAATGGAATACTACTTAGCCTTTAAAAAGAAGGAAATCCTGTCATCTGCAACAACATGAATAAACTTGAGGACGTTATGCTAAGTGAAATAAACCAGGCACAGAAAGACAAACACTGCATGAGCCCATTTCTATGTGTTGAACACACAGAAGTAGAGAGCAGAATGGTGGTTGCCAGGGCCTGGATGTGAGGGTGCCTGGAATGGGAAGATGGTGGTCAAAGGGTACAAAGTTTCTGTTAGGATGAGTAAATTCTGGAAACCTATTTTACAGCATGGTGACTATAGTTAATGATAATGTACTGTATGCTTGAAAACTGCTAAAGAGTAGATCTTAAATGTTCTCACTGTAAAAAAATAACTATGTAAGGTGATAGGTATATTAATTAGCTTAATCATTTCACAATGTATACATATATCAAAACATCATGTTGTACCCCATAAATATATATAACTTTTGTCAATTATACCTTAATAAAGCTGGAAAAAAGAGAAAGGCACATGTATAAAACAACCACAACACTACGCTCTCCTATCAGGCCTCTCCAGTGCAATAAACCTACCTTAACCAAAGGAGCAGTTATTTGAATTTTCTACAAAAGGTAGGAACACACACCATTGTGCCAAGTAGATAAAGAATTCAATCTTACACAATTTAATAGTTAAGATATACTTAGAGTTTCCTTAATCCTGGTCCAGTATGCTTCCTATTCATGACTTTCTGAAAAGCCCATGTCATTATTTTGGTTTTATCTTGCTTATGTCCCTGAAGAAACAGAACTCCTCAAGTCCTGTTAGCCTTTCAGTTCCTCCTTTGGTTTAGTCAGAAAGGCAATCAAAATCTAATTTGCTTGTCTAGAGCTGCAAGTCTCTAAGATCCCTAGAGAAAATCCTTTAATGGGTTATAATGTAATTATTAAGAACCCTAGCTTTGGTATTAGATATATCTGGGTTTCAATCCTGACTCTACCACTTACTTATCATTGGGTGATCTTGGAAAGGTTACTTAGTCTCTCTACCTTTCAGGTTCTTCATCTTAAAGTGGGGATAACAGGGCCGGCCCCATGGCTCACTTGGGAGAGTGCAGTGCTGGTAGCGCCAGGGCCATGGGTTCGGATCCTATATAGGGATGGCCAGTGCCTCACTGGCTAAGCGTGGTGCAGACCACACTGTGCCAAGGGTCACGATCCCCTTACCGGTCACACACAAAAAAAGTGGGGATAATAATGATAACTGCTGGATGGAGTGATGGGTAAGAAAACACTTGCAAGCAATTAACACGATGCCTGGCACCTTATAAGCACTCAATAACATTCTCCATTATTGTTGATGCTACCTAACTTTCCTTTAACTGCCTTCATCTTCCATCTGCAAACAACCTAGAATGCTTTGATCACCACTCTAGCTTCTTGTTTAACCATCATACAAGAGCTTTTAACAATTAATTAGTAAGTAGCCTATAAAACCATTTGACATACCCAGACAGAGATATGCAAGGGGTCTTCAGAGAGTTCATGGAAAGATTCATATTATTTTTTAATTATGTCTTTCCATGAACTTTTTTTTTTTTTAAAAGATGACCGGTAAGGGGATCTTAACCCTTGACTTGGTGTTGT